TATTATGTATTAGTGCATGCTACTATCGTCCAATAAATCAACTTAGAAAAAAAATTGTGTGAGATAGCACCAAATAGACAACTCTTTCTTAAATTTATAACAAACAACTTAGTATAAAATCCAAATATTCATAAAACGTGAAACAACAATTGTCAGACTTTAGCTCGAAGCATTCATAGTTGGTTTAAGGAACTCTATATAAAGTCGTGGTCTCTATGTTGATCTTACTTTTCTTGTAAAGAATTAATAAATTTTATCTTATTTTGTCTTGAAAATAATTGAATTAGGTGAATATTTAATGTATTCTTTTACTCTTATATTTTATTAATAATTTTAAATGTAGTATTAAACTTATAATTATCTCATATAAGTTAATTAATGCCAAGAATTGAGAGTGAAATCCAAAATTTTCAAGCACCTGCAAGAAGAGCAAATAATAAAATGACAACAAAAATGGAAAAAAGGAAACAATGATGATGATGATTATGATGAGATCAACAATTCACTGACTCCAATTCTTGTTGGTAATAATGAAGCAGTATGAAATCCAAGTGCATAGCCATTAAGGAATTTGTGTGAATATATATGATCATATATATACATATGTATGTATATATTTGTTTGTTGTTATTGAGTGAAATGAGCAGCATGAGTGTGAGTGATAAATCTGTAGGGTTGTTACCCTAATGTGGGACGCACGAACCATTTCCTCTCAATTGTGAACATGGTGGCCCTGTACTCCACGATATCCTCTCCTTGTTGGGCTACATGGTGGCAATACTCATAACGCAAATCTATAATTATGTACACACATGAGAAATGGAAATTTGAGAGATTCAGTATATACAGTGTATATATATATATATATATATTAACTGGAAAATACTTATCAGAAGCAGACGTAGAAAGATTCATTAATTAATGCTATGCTGGTAAGATTTTGTTGCAATAATTAATGTGAAATAATTTGTTTTGAGTTGAGTAGTGGAAATTAAACGGCAAGAAGGAGCAATAGAATAGTGATAAGAGAGTATATAATATGTGGACCAGAATATTCCTAATTTTAAAAACGAAGGGTAATTAATGAAAGCCTTACAGAAGCATAATGACTTTGCATTTTGTCATTTCGCTGTCATTTGTTCTTTCCCGTTACTAACACACACGAGATTCTCTTTAAATATCTCCTATCCTTTTCACCCCATCTTATATATATATATATATATATATTAACAAATATACTATATTTTCATACGTAAATTTGACCCAAAAAATAAAATAATCATAATTCCATTGCATTCACTCCTTAAGTTTACAAAGTAATACATATACACGTTGGTGTTGCATTAGACAAGATTGAAAACTTATATTTTTATGATAAACTAGAATATGAATAATGGTTAACGATACATTTTTTAATAAATCTTGGTTTGTACTATTATATATATAATATATATATATATATATAAAGAGTAGCACGCAAGCAAACAGAAGAGAGCTTTCGGTGCATGCAGACTGAGGCTGAGTGGAGGAGCAGAGAACAGGAAGCAAAAGTAGTAATGAGAGCATATATATATATATGTCTAAAAAATCTTCTCAGTCTCGCAGAAGGCGTGAAATAACTGTTGGCGGGATTTGTATGTTCAGACATTTCAAAAAAAAAAAAAAGATGATGACGATGGTGTGTACAGATACATATATATATATATATATATAGTTTTTTCACCTCCTGCTACTGCTAGTATTCTAAATTGGCATGCATGCAGGACCCTAAATTATTGACCCAACCGAACCCAAGAGTGGAAAAAGGAACCACACACATATATAATACCTATCTCTATTAGGTAATGTAGAAAAGAAAAGTATATAAAACTCCGGTAAATCAAGTTGGTCCATGTTTAAAAGTTAAAGATTAAAGGAAGAAGAAAAGTTTAGAGGTGTCTTTAGATTGCCCAATTGTTGCAGGAGGGCTGAACTGGGTGTTTGGGGAATTTATAGATAAGCTAAGCTAAAGGTAAGTTTTTCCTTCTTTTCTTTCAGTAATTTTAACCCTAATTGGTGTTTGCCAAACATGGTGCACTGCAGAAAGTGGATGTTAGTGAAAGCCAAGCTTGATATTTGCCTCATTTAACAAGTGTTCAGAAACCTGTGAATCGAATCTCTGGAAAAAGATTTTACCTATCATGGGTAATTATTTTTATTACCTTTGACAACTATATGCTTAAATTTAACCAGAGATTTTTATTTTCGTTGATGAAGTAATTTTGTTTACCCTAATCAATTTAGAGAATGCATTGTTCATATACAGTTTATTTGGAGCGGCCTCTAGAGCTATAGTGTATGCATGCGCATGCAATGATCGACAGCATGTATATATGTATATATACACCTATATTTGTTTGTCTCTGTGTGTGTGTGTGTTTTGTGGGTGTTATATAGCTGTAAAGGACAAAAAAGGTGACAAGGTGAAGTGGGAACTCATGAAGCAAAATGGATATAATGAGCTATATATATATATATATATATATATATATATGGAGATGTCATGATTCGTGATGAGGACGATATAGACAAGTGGCACATAGGTTGTGGAATATGTAGTAATTAGAATGTAATATTTGAAAAAAAATCACTCATATAATATAACTTTAATTTTATCACTAAAATATATTTTTCATTAATGGATATTTTCATAAATATATAAATATATATTTTTTTAAAAAAAGTAATAATAATATGATTTGTCGTTTTGTAGAAAAAGAGGAGAAGGAAGGAAATTGAGTAAGGAAAATCACGCGCAGGAGCAAAAATGGAATGCATGCTTCTTTCTTTCTTTCTTGTTGGTAGGGTCACCTTCTTCACGCCATGCTGTATACGTATATACATACGGAAATATTAATTATAATTAATTTACTTATTATTTAATTACTTTTTTAAAATATTAATTATTAGTATCTCGATAATGAGTAATTTTCAACTTAACAAATAATAATTATCAGCTTTTTTTTTTCCGGGTAGTGCAGTGATGGGTAATTTCGTCATTTTACAGTCGTTAGATTGACCGCATGAAAAGTGCGGACGTCGGTTTCATGGCAACATTCTTAAAATGTTTTTTTAAACCCCTCGGAACAGAACTTTATTTTAAATTTCAAATTGGATAAAATTATATTCTGAAAAATGAGTTCCATCTGGATTCATAAATATTGGATTAATTTTAATTAATTAATTAGTTTCAAATCGTTTTAATCCAATATTTAAAATGTGTTAAATTTCCATTATACCCTCCGTGCATACTTTAAGTAATTCTTTTTTGGGTTTGCTGAATTTCTTCGTGGCCCAAAAACACAAAATTTATATTATTAACATTTCTTCTGACAAGCTTTTATGTATCCATTTATCTTAAACTTAAATTAATGATGACGGGCAAAGGTTTAAGTAATAATTCACCACACCTTTGACCATTTTTATTTTTAGATTCTAACTTGTACCCCACATACAATATATTTGCTTAAATTAATTAATTAATTATAAAAATTATAATTCATAAGTTTAATTATAACATTGATGATATATTTTTTTATATGCAGAGGCTCCCAAATAAACAATGATTGCCCCCCAATTCTAATTCCATCAGGGTATAAATTAAGTCTGTTAAAAAGAAAAAAAATAATAATAATATTAGTTTGGGGAAGAGAGAGAAATAAGGTATGGGGTGCGTACGTATACGTAATTTAGGAAATGGAAAATCCGCATATCAGACGATTACAATGATCATCAGAAGTCAGATGGTCCCAGAAACTCTGCTGTGGAATCAATCATGTTTGCCCGAAGACTATTGGTTTTCAAATTTACCCAAACGCACGCTTCATGCGGTCCATCCCAAGCCAAGCCTATCATACATATACCCTCACAACTCTACTCTAACATACAAGTCAAGTCAAATTATGTAAACCATCACCCACAACATTTATTTTGTTTTTCAAAAATATTTGTGATATCTATTTAATAATTTATACTGATTCTAAGTATGTATGAGGGATGGATTTTTTTTATTTATTTTTGTTTTTCAAAAATCGTACAAAAATTTCACTAAAATAATATAAAAATTCAATATTTATAATTATGTAAGATATTTTTACCAATCACATTTTAGAATAAAGGTGAAACAAAATTTATTTGTTTAAACATAAACTAATTATATTTTTTAAAGAGAGTAAGTGGGTGATAGAATTTGAACTCAAGTACTTAAATTTATATTGAAGTTATTATCTTTATGGAGTTGAGTTATTTACTATTAATTATAGTTAATTA